TGGCAGGCAGAAAGGTGAATGGAGCTCCAGCCTTGCTGCCCTCTGCTCTCAGCATCACTGGCATCATGTGCTTTCCAGCCTCTCCATCGTATTTATCCAGCCACCTACCCATCCACCCACCCACCACCCATCCGCCCACCCATTCATCCAGCCTGCCTGCCTCCCTCCTTCCCTCCCTCACCCCTTCCTTCCTCCCTGTCTTCCGTCCTTCCATTCTCCCATCCATCTACCCATCTAGGCATCCATCCACCCTTCCATTCATCCACCCATCCCTCCTTCCTAGGTGCTAGGCACTGGAGAGATGATATGAACTAGATATCATCCCTGTCCCCCAGAAGCTCATGGGGTGGAGGTGCAGGGAAGGTGGCGGCGGCTGTGGTGTCAGACGTATAGAGATAATTACTCTACAAAGACCTTAGTATAGTGATTGCGATAGACATAGGATTTTGTGGAAACAGGGCCACCAAGGCCTTCCCACAGAAACTTCCTTACACTGGATTTTAATATTGACTATTTCAGTATGAAGAGCTCTCTCTCTCTCTCTGCAAATTTGTTTATACCAACATGCAAATGAAATTTAAACGCTACACAGTTCGATTAAGGCCCTTAGTTGCTCCCAGGAACATGTGGTTACTTAGCTTTTCTCGGTAAGTCCGACCTCCTCAGTCATCTTCAAAGCAGAGCATGCGCACGTATCGCTGCTGACGTTCTACAGGGAACTCCTGTCCAACCCGGGCGCGCGGGCTGCAGCACGTTTAATGTGAACCAGACCCCGAGAAGACCCAGCTCAGGTACGATTAACTTGGTGAGCTAGGTCTTTGGAGCCTCCCTGTGTGTATGCGTATTTGTGCGTCTCCACAGTGGAGGGGAGGCACTTATATTGGCATTATTTGGACCTCGGTTAGTTAATTGGTCCTTGATTAGTACATCCCTGGTAACATGCAGACTAAGAGTCATGCCCCTATGCTCCTCTGTAAACTGCTTCTTTGGGAGCCATTTGTGTCATAAATCATCTCAAGTAAATTTCTTTTGTTAGCTGCTAAGTGGCATTTGGATTAAGGGCCATTACTGTTGTGGTTGTTATTATTACTTTTTATCAGGACTTAAACATGTCTGAAGAGCAAAGAAAACCCTCTAGTACAATACTAACAAGAGCCTGTTAAGTTGTACCTAAAAATCTTTAAATTCCAATGGACTTGGGCACACTTATGAAAAGAATGATCGTTATAGAAATCTCACACTACCTCTCTCCCATCTTCACGATGGCTTTCTGGTATTGACTTTAAAAACAGTGTTCAATTACTACACGCTCTCAGCCTGCATCCCTAATGTTTATGTGAAACCAGACAACATTTGATTGTCTTTGAAGACAGTTACCCTAACAGACAGGGAGCCTGGATGTCAGTCTGTAGTCTACAGTACTCGTTTTGGCATTTAAAATATTTTTAATAAACTTTTGATTTATCGTCGATATGCTATATGCCATCAATGATTTACTTCTTTTGTGACATAAAATAAGAACTATACCAAATACAGAATAAGAAGTAAATTTGGGTTTGTGAATTATGTTGGTGGTAGACAGTCTTAGTGCGTTTGTAAACTTAAGAGCTGAAAGAAGAAGGAAAACGATTAGGAAGGATTGAGCAACCACACGGACAGCAGCAAGCCCTGAACTTCCGTGGCTCTTGCCTGCTGCACTTCAAGCCCTGTGGTACGTTAGGACCTGATGCATCACCCAGTGAAGCTGCTAGTCCTTGCTTTCTGATGCTGGTGTAGTTTTAAATGGAAAGAGACCTAATAAGTGATAACTGTTCTCTGTTGTCTTTCCTGAATCTCAGGATCCCGCCCCTCCAGTTTCCTATTTTCATGTTGTGCTGGGTTGAGGCCAAGGTCCAGGCCACAGAACGACGCAAGAGAGAAGCAGAGGGCGGCCTGCCTTGCTGGGGGGCCCGGAAAGGCCAGGAGACGCATAGGAAGGAGCAGACGTCCTCTGCCTGTGGCCCTAATGCCTGGTACAGGCAACGCCGGTGTGCACTTCCTGATCTTTTCACTACCAGGAAGAGAGAGCAGAGAAAAAAGAAAGAGGCAACATCACTCATTCATTCATCACTCACTCACTCACTCACTCACTCCACTGACGCTCACTGAGTGCTATTGTGTGCCCGGCACCAGGGCTGGTCCTGGGAATTTGAGGATGAGTAAGTTACCACCCCTGTTTTGAAGGTGTTCCAGTCTCGGGGAGAAAGACACGTAAGCCAGTGGCGAAACTCGCTCAGGTAATTATTATAATGGGGCACAATTTTGAACAGAAACAGCACAGTTGTGAAGGCCAGACTCTCCCTGTTACTGAGCTTCAGAACCAGGAGCGAGGTGACTCACGCCTTTGATCCTGTTTCCGTGTCCACTGGCGGGGGGCCGTTCTCTAGGTTGCAGACGATGTCTGTGAAGTGCCCAACGTGGGGCTCGGCATCCAGGGAATGATGAGGGTGGCTGTGCCTCAGGGGCTACTGCAGGCCTCCAGGCCAGTGGGCCCACCGAGTCCTGAGTCCCACGTCTCAAGTGCAGCAAAGCCTTTTACAGGGACACCGGGGCCCAGGACTAGCAAGGAGCTGTCACCGTCAGGCAGCATTTGTCCCTTTCGATTTTAAAGGAAGAAGACTGCGGCTGGCAGCTCGGAAAAGCCCATCGCCTTGTTTTGCTGTGTCCTGATTCCTGGCACTTGAACAGGCTCCGCACGAGTCCTCCTCGGCCCCCGGCGCCCTGGTTACTTGAAGAGCCCTGTGCTTCTCCTCGCCCTGACTCTTCCAGGCCTTCCGAGTGCCGCGTTCTTCTTGTCCTTCTCACCACTCGCTGGTTTACTGTATTTGAATAGAATATTATGTTTTGAAGCCCTATTATATGTGCATTGTAATACCTATGAACTGTAAGAAGTTAAATAGGATTTATTTGGTCATTGCTGCCTTTTTGTGACTAAAATTGATATTTATATTAATTATAATTATTATAATATTAATTGAACTCTTACTACGTGCTCGGCACCACGTTTCATGCCTTATACCTTACTAAAAGGTAGGTTCTGGTTCATTTGCTCTGGGGCAGGGGTTAAGGGCTGCATTTCTAACAAGCTCCTGGGTGCTGCTGCGGGTCCACAGACTGCCTTTTGAGTAACAAGGCATTGATTGTGTCATTTGATTCTGGTGACAACACTGTGAGGTAAATATTAGTTTTCCCATTTTACACATGTGGTAACGAAAGGTTAGAGGATTTAGACAATTTCCTTAAGGTCATGTTGGCAGAAGCCAGCAGAGCATGGCCTCTCACCTAGGTCTGCCTCCTGGGATAGTGTATGTCCTCCAACCCCCAAGTGTGATCTGAGGATACCTGAAACAGAATTTATATTTTTACTTAACTCTTTATTTCTTTTAAAATGAAACTTCTTTTCCAGTCTAATTCCTCTTATGCACGCCCTTGTCTTCCATGGTGATTGAGATGGGTTCGACTTTGTTTCCAAAGCTGAGACGTACAGCTAATGGTGACTCGTTTGCCAGCCTTACAGCGTGGAAGATGTCGTGTCGGTGATGCGGTCCCGACCGAACCAGAGAGGAAGCTTCTGGGGACGGTGCGCGCGAGGGAGGGAAACCCCCAGGCTCGCTTGGGGTGCCGCGCTCCGTGGACGCAGCGCCTGCGCTGTCACAGGCCGGTGGGAAAGGACGCAGTCCCTGTCCTTCCCAGACCGGACATACTTCTAAAAGTATCATTTGACCTGCTTATATAAACTAATGTTTTATAATAAAAATATTTGAGCTGCAGAAGTGTAATAATAAAAAATTATCTGAAATCCCGTCAACAGGATTTTCTATTTTACTTAATATTTTAAAAGACCTCGGGTTTACATTTAAAAGAGGGAGGGCCACATTTACACAGACCAGCAAGAGTTCAATGTGGCAGCATCATGCCATAAATAATGGAAACACAATTTTTAGTTTTGCGGGGCAGTGGAAGTAAAGGTGCAGGTTTAGGACACCCCTCCCTCAAAAAAAAAAAAAAGAAAAGATGTAAGAAATGCACGTGCACGGCTTCGGTGGGCGCAGCAGTTGAGGAGGCTTGTCCCAACTTTCACCGAGGGTCGCGAGGTCCGCCGGCTCGCGCCGCCGGGGGACTGACGCTCGTCGCCGCTGTCAGCCCGGGCCCGGGTCGCCGACGCATGCGCAGTGTGGCCGCCGGGCTCGGTGGGCGTTTCGCCGGCCTGTTTCTCTCCTGCAGGTTTTGTTCCGTCAACACAGGGGCCGGGACCGCGGTCGCGAGCAGTCCTGAGCCCGAGCCGGAGGTGGGAACCGTCTCTAAGTGAAAATCACCTCGCATCCAAAGGGGCTCGGGGGGGGGGGGGGGGGGGGGGGGCTGGGGACAGGTTTCTGCAGGCGTCTACACACACACACACACGTTCAAGGTGCCAAAACACCCTTCTGTGCAGCTAACTTGGAGGAAGAGCGATTACGAGCTGGGAGAGGATTTAAGGGCTGGAACGAGGAGGGGGGAGGGGTGCGACCTCTCAAACTTTCTGCGCTGCGCCCTCCAGGTGCTCGGCGCCCCGTTTGCATTTCTCTGGGGGGGGTACGGGTGGCCCCAAACTCCTTTGCTCCTCTCAGACCCTTTACAAAACCGCGCCCGCCGTTTGGGGGTTCCCAGTGGGAAGCCCACCATGCCGGAGCGTTGAGCCACACTGCAGCCAAAGCGGGAAGCCGCCCCGAGAGACCATCCGGGGACGCCCAGGGCTGTGAAGCCCCGCACCCCTGGGGGCAGGGGTGGGCGGAGGCGCTGGGCCGCCCTGGGCCGCCCCCGCCCGACCGCCGACCCCGGGCCGGGGCGGCGCGCGCGCCCACCCGCGCCCCTGGGGACTCGCAGACGGCGGCGAGACGGGCCGCGCGCTGGGCATGCTCAGTCGCTGGGCGCCGCGCTCGCGAGTCGGAAGCCTGTGCGCGGCCACCGAGCCGGCCGGGGCGCTCGCAGAGCGCGCGGGACTCGCAGCAGCGGCGGCCGGGCGGCGGCGGACGCCGGGCGGGGAGCAAGCCGAGCCCCGCGCGGGGCCCCCCATCCCCGGGCCGCGGCGCCGGCTTCCTCGCACGCTCGCCGGCCAGGGGCCGGCTGCGGCTGGCGTCGGCGGCATCCTCGCCGCCTGCCCCGGCCGGGCCGCGTCCCGGAGCCGTCGGGCATGGAGCCGTGGAGACAGTGCGCCCAGTGGCTCATCCACTGCAAGGTGCTGCCCGCCAACCACCGGGTGACCTGGGACTCGGCGCAGGTGTTCGACCTGGCGCAGACCCTCCGCGATGGGGTCCTTCTCTGCCAGCTGCTCAACAACCTCCGGGCGCGCTCCATCAACCTGAAGGAGATCAACCTGAGGCCGCAGATGTCCCAGGTGAGGAGGCCGGCGCGGGCGCCTCCGCCTGCAGCCGGCATCTCCCATTAATCACCCGGCTAATTTCTTTGTGTAGATGCAAACATCTAGGTGCGCCCGGCTTGCCCTGCCTCCCAGCCCTCCGCTTTGGGGACCACTTGGGCTTTTCGTACCTTGGCTGGGAATTGCTTAGCTCTTGAGCTGCATGCTAAAGCCCTGCGTCCGGAGGTGGTAGGAGGGTTTCGGAAAGGCTTTCTGCGAGGCGGGAAACAATACTGCCTTAGGGCGCCCTTCACCTACTTTTGTGCGCGTGTGTGCGCGTGAGTGCAACAAAAGGACTCGGATCCAGCTGTTTTGCCCTAACGCAGGAGTGGGTGAACCGAGGTGATGGGGCGATTGTGCCTTTAGCCTGGTCTTCGGCTTTGCGTCTCGTCCCCATGTTTTCTTGAAAGAGGAACCATGACTTCAATGAGGACTCTAGGAAGTGGAGGGCGTTCCGGTACCGTTATCTGTGCCGGATGACCCCGGCTAAGGGAAGGGAAGGGACCACCGCACCGCGGCGCCCCGAAAGCCCCCCTGAGCGTGGGGCCAGCTGGCGAGCGAGGCGCTCGTGTTTGCAGCCCTTGCTGAGCCATGTGAGAAGGAGCAAGCCCAGCCTGTCTCAGCGACGACAGGAAACGCGAAGTTTCGCTCGAGATTCCGCTTTCCTTCATTCTGGGCTTGCTCTGCCGGGTGGCGCTCGCCGGCTCCCGCGGCTGGAGCCTGGCTCGAGGCGCCTCTCCTAGGGGTTACAAAAAGGAGGCGACGCCGGAAGGTTGTGTGCACCCTAGAGTCAACGCAAAGGTCACAGCTCAGTGGTATAGTACTTTCTGGGTCCCCTCGGAAAGTTTTCACGCAGAAATCGATCTTCTCTTTCATAATGTAAAAAAAAAAAAAAAAAAAAAAAAAAAAAAAAGAAAGAAAAAAATCCACTTTCAATTTAAAAGGGAGGGGAAAGAGTCGCCTCCATGACCCATTTGAGCACCAATCCTGAATGATACGAAGCCTCAGCTACTTAGCAAGCAGAGCAGGGACTTTCACAACGAACTGACTTTATGTAATTTACCGATTATGTACTCATCTTCTTATGTCAGTGTTTTATTGGGGTCCCTCTGCACCTCGAGTTCGGTGACCCTTGCCTGTCTGCCTTCAACCTGCTGGTTAACAGTCCCCAAGAAAGGCCAGGCTTGTACGTGGTGGGAGCCATATGTTTTGAGAAGTGAGATCAATGGTTTTAGCCTCTCCCATCATATCCTGGGTGGTGACTGCTGACTCCGTGGACCCCTTTGAGTGGCCCTGACTCTGGATATCCTGTCCAAGGGGCCAGCAGACATTTCCGTGAATCTGGGAGCTGCTGTGGTGAACAGAGTTCCGCAGGGAGCTGCAGTTGGTTAGCCAGCCCACAGATACCCGTTCCCCGCCTGGCCTGGAGCCTGAGGAAGCCGAGTGGGTCAGGATGCCGTGGCCCACCCGTAGGAAGAACAGGACTGGGTGCATTTCCTGAAATGTCAGTGTCCTGGAACCTTGGGGTTTGTTCAATAAGTGGTTCACAATGATCAAGTCTGGGCAGCCGAGGCGCTCTCTCCCCCTGCCCCACACCCCCTCAACCTTCTAACCCTTAGTTGAGTATCGTGGAAAATCTTTTCAAATGTTTTTGCTCTTCTCTTTGTCGCATATATGAGATAAAATTTAATGCCTTTGATGACTAAGGATTGTCATTATAAGCATCATTAGTGAAAATTGAGCATTTATGATGCTCTAAGAACTCGGTTCCCTACTGGGGGTACCACAGCGAATGGAGCAAAATCCTTGCCCTGAGGGAATCATTACTGTGCTATCAGACAAGCTGCCAGCTTGCAATGAGCTGACCAGCCGGATGACCTTCCTGAGGCCGTTGAGGGTTCGGGTTCTTAAGGCTGCCCAGCCCCGAGCTTCCTGGTTCCAAATTCAGTGCGGTTGCCTTGTAACGTCCCATGAGCGAGGGCTTCTCGCAAAAGTGAACCTGGGAAGGCTGGTACCTGGATCTGGTGGTCTGTTTTCTCCCTGATTTAGCCACACTACAGAGAGGTGAGGTTGCTAAACAGCTGAGGGCTGGACTTTTCTACGTGCCGCTGTCATTAAATCCTTAAACGAGACTTAGTAAATGGTTTCATTAGACAAGTGGGCATATTAAACATGCCTGCAAGGCTATCACATACAGCACATACTATGTAACTTAATATTCACTATTGGCAAAATTACTTGAAACATTTTCCCCCCTGCTATTGTCATTACCAAGAGTGATAGGTTACAATCAACTTTTTAAAATATTTGGAAGGCCTACACATTTTTGGGGAGAAGGACATCTCTAAATGTTTTGGCCTCTGATGGCTCATCTGTCTTTCTTGGTAAAGGTTCTAGATGCTCCTGGTTGTAAGGTTCTTCCCCGCCAGCTCTATCGGTACCCGGTAGGGAATGCTCTGGAAACCCTAACACGCATCCCCGCAGACGCATCTGTCCGAATTTAGAGACGTCAGCACTAGGACTTGTGGCTTCTGCTGTGTCTCAGAGCCGTTCTGTTCACCTGAGTTAGGTTCTACTGAAGATACTCGTTGAAATGAACATGAGCACATCGTCATCTAAGCCAGGAAATCCCTGGAAGCCTTCTAGGTTTGTGTTATTTGAGACTGTATGAGCAGGTGTGGAGAAATGAAATTTTAGCTTATGGACGTTTCCCTTGAGCCGTGGGACCTGCCCCTGTGTCAAAGGCAGAGAGGAGAGCCTGGGGCGGAGCTGAGAGGGACAGGCCAGGGTCTGGGTGAGGGGACAGCCACATGTGGTTCCAGGAATCGGAGTGAGTAAAGTGTTCCCAGGAAGAGGAGGAGTGACCAGACGTGCCAGATGCTGCCGACAGGTCAAGTGCAAGATTTGAGGGGGGAATATTGTATCAAACAAAATAAAGTTCTTTGGTGGCCTTGACAGAAACAGACTTGGTGGGTGGTGGTCCAGTGCCCAACTGAAGAAGAAGGGAGCGTGGGAGGGAGGGATCGGGCAGCAAGTATGGGCCTCTCTTTGGGAGTAATTTTGCTGTAAATAGAGCAGAAAAATGGGGCCGTGACTAGTAGGGCGCAAGGGATCAAGAAAGGGTTATGTTCTTATCGCACTGAACGGTTATTTTATACCTATTAAAAGAACTCTTTTAGATGAGTATGTGGAAAAAATAAATAGGCACGTACCTAAGGAAACATAGGCGAAATAAACGTAGTGTCCCTAAAACTTCTTTTCGCTCAGGTTGCCCCTCTTCCGAAGCCCATTTCCTCTCAGAGCTGCTGATTTCCATTGATTGTGCTTTTCTCACATACCGTTTTGCTCTCAGTCCAAGGGGTGGTGATGCAGTGTTTCTAAAACAATACACCGCTATTATCCCCAAGAGCTCCTGCCAAGCCGGAGTTGGATCTTGAGGTTGCTACTATTAAAAAAAAAAGCTAGAGCGAACTTTCTTTCTGTGATACATAACTGTACGTAGTTTTGAAGACTATGATATTAGTTCCAGCATTGAGGTGTGCCCTGCAGGTACGTGCCCGTTCTCCCTGCCCCCGGGAGGGTGCTGCTGTGTGACATCGTTGAGCTGTGCTGAGCGGAGGACAAGGCTGTCGTCGTCCGAAGCGAGCGGCGTGCCCACTGAGGTCGTCAGTCAGTTCAGAATAATGTCTGTCTTCAGTCTCTCTTCTCAGAGGTCAGTTAGCTCTTTGCCATTCGTTAGATTATTCTCTTGGATAATCTGTCAGCATTTCCTTTTCTTTTTGTGGATGAGATGGACCGCATACACATCAATCTTTCAAGAAATTTTATTTCTCAGTTATAGTTCACATTCAGCATTATTTTGTATTCGTTTCAGGGGTACGGCATAGTGTTTAGACAATTCTGTGCTTTACAAAGCGAGTTCCTCCGATATGTCCAGTACCCACCTGGCACCGCACATGGTTAGGGCAACGCTCTAGACCATAGTCCCTGTGCTGTACTTCACATCCCTGTGACTCTCCCGTAACTGCCAGGCTGTTCTTGTTAATCCTCCGCCTTCCTCGCCCACTCCCCCAGCCCCCTCCCCTCTGGCAGCCATCCGTCTGTTCTCTGTATGTATGAGTCTGTTTCTGTTTTGTTTGCTTGTTAATATTGTTCCTTAGATTCCGCATGTAAGTGAAATCGTATGGTATTTATCTTTCTCTGTCTGACTTGAGTCACTGAGCATAATACCCTCCAGGTCTGCCCATGCTCTCGCAAATGGCAAGATTTCATTCATTCCCATGGCTGCGTAATAGTCCATTGCATATAGGTATCCCAGCTTCCTTATCCGCCCGTGTACCGATTGCCGGGCACTCGGGTTGCCTTCCTGTCTCCCGCCAGCGTAGTTTTAGACTTGCCGCCAACCCAGATCTTTCCCGTGAGGGAGGTGAGGCGTATTGAGGCGTCACAGGGGCTTCTCTCTGTGCGCCCGTCATGCCTGGCCTGGGCGCTCCAGGGACTGGAGCCTGGGACGCAGCCTGAGGTGCTCCCGGCGAGGTGCTGCCCGTGGCTGCCAGGATGAGGAGCACGAGAAAGCGGCTTTTTAAGAGGTGGTTGAGTGTGTTATATCCTGTTTATAATGCAAATGGGGTTGGTCCAGGATAGATCACTGTGTTCCTGATTTTCAAATACAACAGATCCTTTAAAAAAAATTATTCTGTGGCAATTGATGTAGCTTTTTCTGTTCCCCCTGAAAGTGTCACACCCTGCACGCTTCCCATCCTCCTGTTCCTTTTTGGTTTCCTTTTCTGGCCTCTCTTTATCTAAACAGTCCTTAAAAGTTTTAGAGTTCTCTCCTCTGTTCTCTTACATATTCTCTTCCTGGCATGATCTCGTGTCGTATACTTTTCTTATGTCCGCAGGCCCCCAGTTCTTATCGACAGCCCCCCTCTGCCTGGTGTAGGCCTCACCTCCGTTGTGACAGGCACCGCCTGGAGGGA